TGAAGAGGAGCCAGAGTGGGAGGTGGAGGCCTCCTGCAGAGCCAGGAGCTGGCTGTCCACTGCCCGCCCCGTGGATTTAGTAGCTGCGCACCCTGACACATGTCTCTGGGTTATCTGCACAATCTCACTTTGAAAAAGCGTTTTCAATCCCTTGATTTATCTTTCTGTGTCATTGTTGTTTATAATAGTTTTTGCTCAAAGGCAAGAACATGCTTTTAAACTGACCTTTTAAACTTTATAAAGCGTATGGCACAAAGGGACACATGAAAGGAACAATAAGCACATTCTCTGAGGGTGAGCATAGCTGAAGTCTCTTTGGTGATGAGATCTCTGGGAAACGGGTACACAGCATCTGAGCTGGGCTCTTGCAGCTGATGGATGGCCAGTCCCTGGGTGGAAGTCTCATGACCAAGCAGAGAGGCCAAACTGTACTCTGCCCAATGGGAACATCTTCCCCACCCTCTCACCATGGCTCTGGGCCACCGCTTGCCCTTGGGAGCCAAGGGGGACTATGTGGGAGGGTTGGCTTTGTGCCAAGGCCTGCAGGAAGCTGTGGAGGCTTTGGGCAGGTGAAGGATGCGTAACACAGAGAAAAGGACAGAGCGTCTGAAGCCATGGCTGTGGCACTTCCAAACTGTACGACCATGTGAAAGTCACATCGCTTCAGTGACAGCCATGCCAGCATGCAGCACCCACCTATGGAACCCTGGCTAGATGCTGGACACCGGGGTGCGGAGGAGGCCAAGAGGATGTCACGGTCCTTCCTTTGCTGTTGGTTGTTAACTGTTAGCATGGGTACCAGTTCTCATTGTTGCTGTAGTAAATTAACACAAATCTAGTAGTTGAAGACAACATGAATGTACCGTCTCCTAGTTCTGGGGGGCTGAGCTGGAAGTCAGTTCCACTGAGCTGGAGTCTAGGTGTTGGCAGGATGTTTTCCTGGGGGTGCCATGGAGGAGTCTGCTTCCTTGCCTTTCTCACCTTCTGGGGCTGCCTCACACCTTGGCTCCCTCGGCAGAGCCCTTCATGCTGGTCCCTGCTTCCCTCATCACAGCTCCCCTTCTCTCCTGTATCAAATCTCGTGCCTTCTTATAAGGACCCTGGTGATCACACTGGTTCCATCTGGCCAGTTCAGGGTAGTCTCTCTATGTTAAAATCTTTGTTTTTTCTTTTGGAGAGGTTTTTGCCATAGGTCACGTGTGCTCGTTGGAAATACAGAGAGAGACCGAGAGACAGAAAGAGAAAAATCACCCCCACTCCCCCCAGAGGCGATAGCCATGCTATAATCCCTTCTCCTCCATCATCTTGGGGACGCATGCCCACGTGCCCAGTGTGAGTTTAAACCACCTGGTCTGGGACTCGAACTGCAGCGGTCGACTACATAGGAGTCCAGTGACATAGCCATTATGCCAACTACTGGTTCCTCTATGTTAAAATCTTTAACTCAGTCCCATTTGCAGAACACCTTCTGCCATGTAAGGTAACATTCTCAGGATTCAGGGAGTAGGATGTGGATATTTCGGGTGGCCATTGTTCGGCCTACCATACCAGGTCAGACTGCAATCGATGTCTGCACATTTTCCACGTCTAGGTGTCTTCCGGGCAGGGAGGTAGGCCTGCCAGTTGACTTCATGTGTGCTGGGTGAGTGAGCAAGGGCAGAAGTAGATGAATGGATGCTTTGGGGTTGAGAAGGACGTAACAGTTCAGTTGGGGTTTAGAGGATTAGCATGAGTTTGCAAAGGGTATTCTAGACAAAGCAAATGGCTGAGGAAAAGGTCAGGGAGTGGGCAGGTGGAATATGAAGGCTGGGCTGCCATGCGGATGGGCAGTGAGTGGCCAGGTTATGATGGGCCTTGTAGGTTGGGCTTGGGGTTGATTTTAGAAGGAAGCAGAATATGTCCTGGTTCCTGCCATTATTTTCAGTCATTTACCTACGTTCAAATTCCTTTGCTGCCACTTGCTGAACAGCTCTGGGCAAACTATTAAACCTCTCTGAGACGTCATAAAAATGTCGTGAGAGAGACCAGCAGTTGGCGTAACGGCTGTGTCGCTGGACTCCCATGTAGTCGAGCATGGGTCGAGTCCCGGATTCAGTGGCTTAAACTCAAACTGGGTGTGTGTGCGTGCATGCCCAAGATCCTGAGAAGAGACTGGAGGAGAAGAGATTGTGGTGTGGCCATCCCCCCAGGGGGTGTTTTCTTGCTTTCTGTCTCTCTGTCTTTCTGGTGAGTGCATGTGCCCTATAGCAAAAACCTCTCAAAAAAAAAAAATGCTGTGAGAAACAATATTTTCTTCAGTTTATTTCTTTTCTTCATAAGAGTGTGATAGAGAAGCACCCTTAACAAGATCCCTTGCCATGATTCCCTCCAAGTCCTCCAGCCAACCAGGTCATGGGTGTGCAGGCCTGGTGCATAGAGGCTGACCCGGAAACCAAACCTGAAAGCTTCCACGTAGATCCAGTGTGGCTTGAGCAGCGGCTCCTTGCTGCACCCTGAGCTGGCCTGCAGATCACTTCTGAGGCTTGCAATGCACTTAGCACAGTGCTTGGAATGGCCAAAGAACCTAGGAAGAATTTGTTGTTAAGATTGTTGGTATTTTCAGAAATATGATTATTGTTGTTGATGGGGCTGATGAGAAACCTTTAAGAAATCTCAGCCAGGTGACACTGTCATGGTCAGATTTTCTTTTTAGAGAGAGGACTGTGGAGATGGAGGAGGCTGATGAGTGGGTCACAGTGGGGTCAGGAGAGCAGTTAGGAAGCTATTAAAATAACCCGAGTGAGAGATGAAGAGGCAGAGAACAGAGGTGGGTGTGAAGGGCACTTTATTGGACTTTGGGTGTTCGAGTGGTGTCTTCATTCCACTGTTCCTGCTTGAAATGGGTCAAACGGGATTTGAAAGACCATCTGTACCAGTGCTCTGGTCCTCGCTTTTCAGACAGGGACATAAAGCACAGCGAGGGGAAGGAGCCTTGCCTTAGTCTCTTGGTCAAACGGTGACAGGAGAGAGGGACAGAGTGGAACTCAGGTCTTCGGCCTTTTGTTGAGGAGAGAATGCGGGTGGGAGAAGCATGGCTGGAGGAGGCTTCTTCAGAAGGGCAGCTCTTCATCACCATGTGTGCATGTGTGTGCTGAGAGGGTGAGGGGTGTTCTCATACAGCCTACCCTTCCACTCCTCTCACAAGCTCTCCATACCTTACATCCTTGCTTCAGCCCCTTCTCCCGCCATTTCCAAGAGAACCTGTAGCATCCCAGAGGCATCATGGTCTGGAGATTTTGTGGTTTCGAACTTGGGGCAATGGCATGATTGAAGGTGGGAGGGCGAATAGAAGATGAGGCTGCCCGGGGAGGAGGAGTGAGCTCTGTTCTGGCACCAGCGAAGACAGCCAGGGTCTGAGGAGAGGCGTGCACATGGATTGGGTACTGCATGTCCCCACAGTCTTCCAATCACACCCTTCATACATCTTCAGGAGGAAGCCAATTCAATGGAGTCGCCACAGCAAGGTTACGATTGTTCCCTCAATCGTATCTTACCCTGCAAGGATGTTGGAGGAAAGTATATTTCAACGCCATGTTCAAAAGAGCTGTCATCTTTTCAGCGTAGTAAATGGGTTTTCAGGGTGTGATGTAATGTTCTTATTTTTAATACATTCTTTTTTAAAAATGACTTTACTATAGCTCAGATTGATGCTTGCTTGCTAGAGGGGAAAAATACCTATAGGGAGCTAAACTACATTTCAAATACAGGGACAATTTCCAGGAACTTTTGTGCTCACCTACCTAGATTTATAAACTAGAATCACAGGGCAAATTTTCAGGTGACTGAAAGATATAGGACAGGTTCCTTTAAATACCATGGTGTGGGCCAGCAGGTGGTAGAGTGGTTCAAATCCTGGACCTAGTGGCTTGAAAAATCATGCCTGGGGTGTGTGTGTGTGTGTGTGTGTGTGTGTGTGTGTGTGCATGTGTGCCCCAAAATCCCAGCAGGATAATGGAGAGAGACTGTGGTGTGGCCCTCTCCTCTGAGGGATGATTTTTCTTCTTCTTCTTCTTCTTCTTCTTCTTCTTCTTCTTCTTCTTCTTCTTCCTCTTCTTCCTCTTCTTCTTGTCTTATGAAGAGGTTTTGCCATAGCATGTGTGCACTCACCACAGAGAGAGCAGCAGAGAGACAGAGAGATAGAGACAGAGATAGTGAGAGGGAAAGTGAGAAATCACCCCCTAGTGGGATGGCCACACCACAATCCATCCCTTCGCCATTCTTCTGCAATTTTGGACCCATATGTACCTGTGCCTGGCATGATTTCCAAGTCACAGGTCCAGGACTTTTGAACAGTGGTCTGCCATGTGGGAGTCCAGTGACGTAAACATGACACCATCTGCTGGGAGGTGATTTCTCACTTTTCCTCTCACTCTCTCTCTCTCTCTCTCTTGCAAGCACATATGCCCTATGGCAAAACACTCCCCCCCCCCAAAAAAAAAACGAACCCTTAAAAACAAACAAACAAACAAAACCCCCACATTTTAGAAATTTCTTATACATGGCTTGCTGGCTTTACAAGAAAGCTGGGAGAGGAAACAAACAAAAGCCCATAGAGACGAGATGGAGGACTCTGTGCCATGATGACAAGAACTTGCTTTATTTTTGTGTGTGCATGTGTGTGCACGCGTGTTTCCCAGCAGTGTCACAGTGACGACAGTGAGACACGCCCAGCCCAGTGCTTGGCAGTGTCAAACCACGGAGTTCACCAGCCCGTGTCGGCTGTCACATGTGGCTCTTGTGAGGCTCAGAAGTGGCGGGCACTGTCAAAGCCCTGGGAACCCGTCCTCTGTGGAACCTG